AGCGGAGCGTGCTAATTCTGGGAGGGTCTAGTGGGACAGGAAGCGTCGGGATCCAGCTGGCGAAGAAGATGGGGCTGAGGGTGGTCACGACGTGTTCGACCAAGAATGTAGAGCTGGTGAAGAAGCTCGGAGCGGACGAGGTGAGTGGTCTTTCGGTTTGGCAGAAAGCGGAGTAGCGTTGGCTCAAGTCGTTGGCTCTCCTAGGTGATCGACTACACGACCCAGCATGTCCTCTCGGAAGCCCTGCACTCACACCACGCACCCTACGCCGTGATCCTAGACTGCGCAGGGGGCAAGGACCTCCTCCCGAGTCTGGACCACCTGATACTGTCGGATCCGGGAGCCCCGGAACTCGGAATCTACGTCACCATCGTAGGAGACAGTACGTCCCGACGTCCGTCAAGTAGTGTCTGCGCTAAAGAGCCGTAGAAACCGGCAGGGACGCGATGGGCGGCTCCATCACCAACGTGAGGCTTTCCACCGCGATCAACGCTGACACATTGCAGTATTTCTATCCCTCGCAGGCCATTCGCACCGCTCGGGGAAAGCTGAACGACTACCTACCAAGCTACATCCCTTCAGATCTTGGATAGCCAACAAGCGGTACGCGTGCATCATCATGCAGCCCTCGGCGGACATGCTGGACACGGTCCCTCGGTTCATGGAGAGTGCGGGGAACGTCCTCATCGAGGGCGTCTATGAGTTTGAGGCGAGTGTCTCGGGTACACATGTTCAGGGTGTGGTGGAGATCTGCACGCAGTAAGGCTGACGGACTCAGGATGCGAGAAAGGCGTTCGCGCAGCTCGAATCTGGCAGGTCAAGGGGCAAAGTCGTGGTCAAGATCGTCGAATAGAATGAGAGATGATGCAACAGCAGTGCGAGCTAAGAGTGCGTTGCGTCGCGGGTCAAAACCAAGCCGATCAAGCGGAGCCCTTGTTGTGCCTTCGGAACCAGGTCTGCCTCGTCAACCATCGCCGTCAAAAGTCTGCTTCAAACGCGGATTGTCCTAGACGCGAGCCGTTAAGCTGGCTGGTACGTCGGACTTGGAGCGAATGCGTGTGCGCCAATTGGGAAATATACCACAGTATAACCTGGAAGATCTGCAAAATCTCTCAGAAAGTCACTTGCCGATCAGCCGATCTGTGATCGTAGATCGGCTCGATCGGCTCGATCGGCCTATAGCGGATCATAGATCCGCTATCATCGCAGATCTTCGATCTGCTGTGTAATCTCAAAAACAGCAGATCTTCGATCTGCTTCTGAGAAGGAGGCCCTTGTGGGGCAACGTCAGGCCATCCCCATTGGGCGCCGATCCCTCCCCCCCCCTCCTCCCCCCCCCCCCCCCCCCTTCTATAGCGGATCTTAGATCCGCTATCTTCGCAGATCTTCGATCTGCTATTCTAAAGGAGACTCTCCTGGCGGAACGCCAGGCGTTCCCCCATCGGGGGCGCCGGGGCGCCCGGGAAGAAGGAAGGGTGAGAAGGGGGAAGGAAGGGGGGGGGGAAATGGGAGGGGGATGGGAGGGGGAATCGGCGGGGATCGGCGATATCGGTGGGGAATGTGAGGTGGAAACGGGAGGGGGGCATGGCGAGGATCGGCGATATCGGTCACAAAGTCACGATCGGCAGTACATCGCATCCTGATCCGTATCCCCTATGGCGGGGTCGTTGCTATGGCAGCTCCTCTCAGCAAACTCCATTTCGTCGTCCGACCATTTGACCAACAACGACTGAGGTGTCGGCTTCGCAATGAGTCAGGATCGGAGCGTCGAGCATCGACTCGAGCTCGTTTTGGCAACTCGACCACCCAACTCGTCGATCTTAGAAAAAGCTGACTTGAAGTCCAGACTCGAGATAGTCCCCCTGGAGACTCTTGTTGTGCTGCATGAACAACTTGACCGCCGCGGCGCCTGTGAGCTGCTCTGTCAGGGTTAGATCGCATATGAGAACTTGAGTACGCCGGGGCATGAGTATGAACAATACATTGGATGGGGAGCATCCTAGTATCTGCAGGGCGATGGTTAAACACGAGAAGGCTCCTCCATCGGTCGGAAGCATAGTTCAAGTCTACCATACGTACGACCGGAGGCAGCCTAGGTCATGATATGCTCGTCGATGATGATCCGGTCGATGCACTCGAGAAATCTGGGCCTGAACTGTGATCGAATCTTCCGAAGGACCTTGTCCTCGTCGGTAGCGGGAACGGTCGATTCGGGGGTAGGACGGCGAATGTACTTGTCGCCAAGGTTCGAGGTGAAGATGAAGAAGAACGGGGTAAGGCTGAGCTCCATTCCGGTCTCCCTGACCAACACAGAGCCGTGTTCCAGTATGTCCAAAAACAGATTGAGAAGATGATGGTCGCCCTTCTCGACCTCGTTCACCATGATGACGCCGGTCTTGGCAGTGGTCACAAATTCGGAGAGTCTGCCCGAGGTGTTTCGGCCTCCCAGCAGATCGACTCTGACGGAAGGGCCCTTGAAAGACGCGGGGTCGATCAACAACAGGTGGTTCTTGCCTCCGAAACCGTGAATGGCAAGAGCTTCTCCGAGAGCCGACTTGCCCGTCCCAGGCGGACCCGTGAAGAGCAGCGCCCCGATTGGCCTCTGTCGACGACGGTGGAGGATACGGCGCCCGAAGCATCGTTCCATGGTTTGCAACGCGGGCTCTTGTCCAGAAACGACGCTGCCGAGCGTGGCCCGGATCGTCTTGACCAGCTCGTACTCCCCCGGTGTTGGGTCGCGCAGACGTAAGCCCGTGATGTTTTCCAGCGCCTCGTTGACATCGTCAATGGTAATGCGGAGCTGCGGATCGTCCAGGTTGTTGGGATCTGTGATCGAGCGCATGTCGATCCGTACGTGTTCCAGCTCGTCCAAGAGTCGCTCCTCGGCGAAACGGTCTCCGCCGGCACGCTTGGACGCCACCTTGTACACCTCCCTGGCCAACCCAGCGGCTGAGCTCGGTCGCGCCGACCTCATAAAGGCCGTGGCGTGCTCTACAACGCGACAGAGGCTGTGATCGGTCATGACGACCCCGTACGCGTCGTTCCACTCGCTGTAAATAGTCTCGCGCAGCATGGTGAGTGTCCTGGGGATGCTGGGCTCGTGCAGGACGACCTCGGATATGCGACAGTCCATCGCTTTGTTGGGCATGATGTAGCGCATGTATTCTTCGCTAGTCATCGCTCCGAGTAAGGTGATGGTGCCATCCCCTATGGCCGTCTTGAACATCTCAGTGATGATGTCGGTGTGGTTCGATGACGAGGGTTTGTAGGTGAACAGGGAGTGGAGATCATCTTGCACAAAGGTCAGCTTTGCACGACCAGGCAGGAGACAGAGTCGTATCACTGACCCCAGATGACGATGGCGTTGACCCCCTCCTCCTTGAGCATGGCGAGCTCTGCGATCAAGTTTGTGACCTGAGTCGCGTCTTGGCTAGGATACTTTGTGTTGGAAATGAGGCTGGCCAGATCTAGCTCCCAGAACTTGGCTTGATTCAACCCTGGACGACCTCCGAGTGTAGCCTGCCGGATGAGCTCGCGGATGCAGAGCGACTTGCCAACCCCGGCGATCCCCGTGAAGACCACGCTTCTCCTGGCGAGCAAGTGGCCCACCGCCGTGTCAATCTCGTCTTTGTATCCGATAGTCCGGTTCCACGTGCCGGCTTCGGCGACCTTGCCGATGCAGGGTACTCTGAGGGGCAATAGTCAGCAGGGCACGTCCGCTCCCAATCTCACCAGAGACTCACTGTTCAGTTCAACCAGTATCTTGCCCTGCTTGTGACCCCCACCTGGAAGGATGCAGGGATACTCTTGATTGTTCTCGGTGTGAGATGCGAGCACCGCCTTGCGCAAGGACTCCATGTTGACCCTGGAGACGTTGAAGACCCCTCGAAATACGGCGAGGTCGGACATTGGCTTGATGAGATCCCAGCAGTCGATAAAGAGACACTTGTCCTTGAGGTATGCGGTGTGAGCCTCTTCCAGAACTTCGCGGAGGTCGAAATCGACGACGATGGCTTCCTGGGGGTCGGTACGGCCCGACAGAGCGTTGATGCGAGCGTCGCAGGCGAGCCGGAACTTGACGACATCCCCGTCGCAAGTCGATACCAGGTCGCCAAACCCGTCGGGAAACGTGTTGGCCCACGTCTCCGCCTTGATCCATGCCGAGAGGAGATGGATGGGACCAAAGGTTTCGCTGTTGGCGTTTTCGGCGAGCGCCAAGCCGCTGTTGAGCCATTGCAAGCATCGACTGGTGAACCGACTGGTCACGACCCAGACAGGGACTTCAGACATGGCGGCGGCTCGACGATATGTGTCACAGTCGTTGGGAAGGACTGTGAGATGGACTGTGAGATGGACTGTGAGATGGACTGTGAGATGGACTGTGAGATGGACTGTGAGATGGACTGTGAGATGGACTGTGAGATGGACTGTGAGATATGGACTGTGAGATGGACTGTGAGATGTCAAGGCGATCAAAGGGCCGCCGAGATGTCAAGGCGGGTCCACCGACCTGAAACAAAAGAAGCCAGGCGCCAACCATCAAAACAACCCATCACCATCAAGCGCCACTTGCCACCTGGCGAATGTGGCACTCCTGTGGCATCGGCTCAAACGCACACTTCCGTCGATTCCTTCTGCCTGCCTCTGCTAAACTCCCTTCCCGATCAGATACGCACACCAGATACACGACGGAGTGTCACCAGAACAAGAGGGGACAACAGGGCCATCAGGGAGCACGCGCCACGATAGTAATCCGGCTTGGCACCGGCCAGTACCACCCCTCCCCCTCCATCCTCCCCTGCGTCTGACGGACCGTTTGATCCAGCAATCCGCGCGAAGCGAGCTAGTAGACTGCGTGTGACACTACTCAGCTTCACAAGCAGTGTGCAGAACCACTCAGACACGCGGGAGTGCCGAATAATGGTCGAGCAATCAGTGGGTTTGAAGAATCTTCGCCGATTATATGGGCTCTGGCTGTCTCGACTTCAACAGCTTGTCCTGGCCAGATGGCCGAGCGGTCTAAGGCGATTGACTCGAAGTTCTACCTTCTGTAATCAATTCTCGTAAGAGGCGCAAGTTCAAATCTTGCTCTGGTCGTTTCTTTTGTTGTGGAAGACAGGAATCCAAGTTTTTGTGACTCGGTTGGGACGTGGTCCAGAGCCCGGTGACCCCGTCGTTTTCCCTGTGCCTGACGGTGGCAGTGGCAGTTCCGCACGTGCTGTGGGAGCTGAGGAACCCACCGACGATCGTCACACTAAGCTGCGTGGGGACTGACAGGGAGGAAAATGCCTTTGACGGTCGACGAGGGCAACATGGGGGGGCCTGACAGTGTCGTGCCGTATGTCGTCAATGTGGAGGCAACTCGGTGGAATGAAGGTCTAGTACGTTACTACTGGTCCTTCAGATGCTCTACATACCAGCACGACCGGTCGAGTGTATGCGGAATGTCAGACAATTAACCGGTTCGAGTTCGAGACAGTAAAAGTTCTTCAACTATTGCGGTGACGAAGTGAGTATGTGCCACTCCGCCACTCCGCACCCAGCGGCGATCGCCGCCTCCGCCTTCGCAGATTACCCCTACCTGGTGCACATTACTGAATCTTCTGAAGCTCGCACTGTGCTTACATCTCGGACAACCTGACCACAACCAGCATGCGGTACGCCGTGCTTGTGACGGGCCCAGCGGGTGCCGGCAAGTCAACATTCTGCGCCTCGCTCATCACCCACGCCCAGACGCTGGGGCGGTCGGTCCACCTCTTCAACCTGGACCCGGCGGCGGAGCGGTTCGAGTACGGGCCGACAATAGACATCCGAGATCTCATCAACCTGCAGGATGTGATGGAGGAGCTGGAGTTTGGGCCGAATGGGGGGTTGATATACTGCTTTGAGTGAGTGGGCGCGGGTGACTCGGGCTGAGCCGCAGATACCTCCTGAACAATCTCGATTGGCTAGACGACGAGCTGGGCTCGTACGAGGACGACTACCTCATCATCGACTGTCCCGGCCAGATCGAGCTGTACACGCACATCCCCCTACTCCCTCGCCTCGCCTCGCACCTGTCCACCCAGCTCAATTTTCGCACGTCCGCGACATACCTCATCGACTCGCAGTTCATGCAGGACAAGTCAAAGTTCTTTGCCGGGGTCATGTCCGCCATGTCGTGCATGCTGGCACTGGGGATCAGCATGCTGTGCGTGATGAGCAAGATGGATCTGGTGAAGGACGAGAAGGGTCGGACGAAGAGGGAGGTGGGGAGGTATCTCGATCCGGATCCGGCGTTGCTGCTCGAGGACGTGAACTCGAGTACGAACCCAAAGTTTCACGCGTTGAACCAGGCGGTGGTGGGATTGGTGAGTGACTCGGAAGCGCGGAGCTAATCCCAGATCGAGGACCAGAACATCGTCTCGTTCCTTCCTCTCGACGTGACGTCGGAGGACTCGGTGAACACGATCCTGAGCCATATCGACAACATGATGCAGTACGGCGAGGACGAGGAGCCAAAGGTGGGTCCGAGGGCGTGGCATCGCTGACGACAGATACCCAAGGATATGGACGAGGGGGATTTCGACGCGGAATGATGCATGTACAATAACGACAAGAATAATATTGTGACGAAGCCACTCAGGACGACGCTGCGCGATTCGATGCTTTCCAAGGGCTGCTCGGTGCGGCATCGTACGGCACCTCGCTCGTTGCCGACCGGAGTTTCCGTCTCAAATCACAGCGCCGCGCGACTCGCATGCTTCGCGAGGAGCCTCTCGGTGCGGTATCGCTCGTACAGTACCTCGCTGGTTGTTGACCGGAAAGTCTGATCTCAGCGAAAGACTCGAACCGTACTCACCCTCGCTTCACGCAGAATGGTTTCTCGCAGGGCGACAAAGTCGCTCGTGTCGGGGTCCATCACATCGGCTTGACCCCACGGGAACTGACGCACGAACCGCCCGCGGACTTCGGGATTGAACACGGCGTGGATCGCCTGCGTGATCGGTTTCGAAGCGGTCGAAATTGGTGAAAGCGGCTCGTCGATCGCCTCGTTGTCAGTACAGCTCACCGACTCACACACCTCAGGTTCTTCGTCTATCGGTCCAAACACGTCATTCAACACCTCGCCCAGCTCGTGTCGGAGGACACCCCGCACCGCACTCAGCTCGGCGATGGTCAACGCGTCGGCGTGCGTGACGACTGGCAGGACGTTTCCGCGCTCGCCGAGTCGCCGGATCTGGGGTCAGCGCGATCGGGCGGAAACTCACGTTCGAGATGTCTACCTCGTTCAACTTTGGCTCGATCGGACTCGCAAGCTCCGGGCTAGGTCGGCGGGTATCGTCAAAGATGCCAGCGGAGGACCAGTCCACGCCCAGGGCGAGCTCTGAAGCCACCGCGGCTTCCGTAGGCGGATGAAGCACCGTTCGCGCGTCGATGAGATAGAGAACTGTCTCAGCGGCGTCTCCACGCAGACCCACTCAAATGCACCAGATCCTCTGCCCCTTCACCTGTCGCCGAACGATCCGACTTTCCTCTCTTAATCGCTCCTCAAAACGCTCCTCCACAAGCCGTAGTACCCCGCAATCCCCCTCTCTCGCTCTTTCACTTGCACCGCCTCGGATCCCAGCTCGAGTCCGGGGGTGTCGATCAGCCGGAGCTGGACCCATTCGGAAGCGTCCACGAGCAGCGTGGTGGAGGAGAGCCGGGTTGTCCGCGCAGAGGTGGATCTGGGCGTGGTACCTGGCGAGACTGGTGGGCCAGGAGCAGTTGGCGAGGAGGGAGTTTCGTGGGATTGGGAGTTGCCATGGATGTGCTCCTTCAGCGAGTCCGACAGGAGGTTGATAAAGCTGCTAGTCAATGAGAGCCCAGCCAACATGCCCGCAATCACACCAACCCACCTCGTCTTGCCCACCCCTTTACCGCCCACCACCACCACGTTCAGCTTGCTCGGCACCTTGCTCTTGCCCCGCCTTCGGACCGACACCCGAGCCAATGCCGTCGCATCTGTCGCCGTGCTATCTCTCCCCCACGACCTCACTCTGCTCGTCCGAAAGTCGCCTGTACCGTCCGTGTCTGCCGCACCCTTTGACCCAGCGTTGACCACCTGCCATGGCGTGAACGGTCGGTGAAACTGAATCGATGCCTTGCCACCTATCAGCGACGGCTTGCGGTTGTGCGGGCTCGGAGGCGCGGGTATCGTCGTGGTCAGAAACGAAGGGACCTCCTCCCATGAAGCCGGGTCGAGGAGCGGGGTCGTCAGGTCAGGGAGGGACAGGGAATGCCTGATCGCCGGGGACGATGGTGATGGCTCGGCTCCCTTGCGCCGCTTGAGAAACGACACCATGGCGGCACCCTGGCCAATAGTGAGTAGTGTAGCCAGTTGAGAGCATGATGCATGCCGCTCGACTCGTCGTCGCTGTGCTGTGCATGGTCCCCGTCGTCGAGTGGACGTCTGAAACTGGATTCGTCGCATGGATCTCTCCGTGGCTTTGGCTCCGACCACAGGCACAACCGCAACGAGGCACCGTGTGTTACCCAGTCGCGTCCACGAGGGGTTCCTTCGTGATTCTGCGAGGAGATTCCTTAGGGGTCTCGTTAGAAAAGGCCGAGAGCAATACTCGGTCGGTGGTCTCCTCCGAGCCCCATCAAGACTGCACGGGTAGCGTAGTGCATAACTCGCTCCCACAAACGTTCGGTTCGTTCGCTCAATGGAGAATGGCCCAAACGGACAAGGGCATGTGTAGGTCTATGCCAAATCCCAACATGACTGTAGCATAGTGCATAGCTCGCTCGCTCGCCAAAGAATGTATACACCTGAATCCCCTGTACCCTCTACCGAGACCCAATCTATATCACGCCGTCACGCCGTGCACGTCAGCTCGGCCTTCTCGACCAGCGCGAGGCCCGCTCCGAGCGCCCAGCCCAGCTCCACCCCACGGAGCTTCTTCTCCACCATGAGCTCCCTCTCCGGTGCCAGCTCGTACCCGAGTCCCAGCAGCGCGTTCATAAACGTCAGGTCGAGGCAGTATTCCGGCCTGTCCTCGAGCTCGGCCATGGCCTCGGGGTTCTTGCCCCAGCGTTTCTTCCACGAGGCGGGTCCGGCGCAGACATCCTGAGCCATCGAGGTGAGGTCGGCGATGGTGAGTTGGGCCTTGGCCCTGGCTGGGAGGAGAGGTTTGATGCGGTCGGTAAAGTAGGAAAGAGCAAGGAAGTTGCCTCGGGGGAAAGTGTCGAGGATCGAGGGTTGATACACCCCGTTGAAGGAGCACGGCTTGACCTCGCAGATCGCGTCCTTGGCCATGACCAATTCGACGACGCGGTTGCACGCCTCGAAACCGCCCGTGGCACCGTGCATCGTCACGTTGACGGCCATGCGTCCGGGAGGGTCCAGCTCGACGCGGCGGGTGGTCCCACGGGACAAGCACGGGTTGGGCACCTCGTGATTCTCACTCAGGGTGTCCCAGTCGAGTTCGCCCTGGCCAAAGCTCCAAGTGAACGCGACGAGGTTGTGCACGCTGCGCCTGGCGCGCATGAGACCGTAGCCGAGGTACGAGTGCTGGTACAGGGTAAACTCCTTGCCGCCAAAGTTGAGCAGGTACTTGTGGTCGCCCTCGGCGAGGGTCTGCTTGGACTTTGCCGGGAAAGTCGGCTCGAACACGATTTGCGTCGACGCGCCGCCGAGGTCCATCACGGCGAGGGTATCGGTCGACCTGGCGCCCTCGCCAATCTTGCCGAGGAGGTAGTTGGCCGTGATCCACGCGTAGACACCTTCGTCCTTGCCGTCCATGATCTCCACCGCATTGTCGGAAACGACGTACTTGAACTTTGTGGCGAGTCGGTTGCGAACGGCTTCGAGGATGGCTTCGCTCTCGGTGGCGCCGAGCAGGCGGAGACCGGCCGTCGCCTTGACCTCGACCGGAGTGCACGACCACATCTCTTGAGGGACGACGCGGTTGGCTTCCTCGAGAAGCGGGTCGAGAGACGCCGCCGCGCCAGAAGGATTACGGGCGTAGGCCGACAAACCCGGGTTGATGGACATGAACGTCTCGTACTCGAGCTGAGGCGAGGGACCGCAGTTGTGGAACTTGTACACGTGGATGCGGGAGCCCGTCGAC